ATCGTCGTTTATGGTGACATGGCTGATTCTGGAGATGCTACAGTGTAGATAAAGCTTGGGCAGTAGGGCTGCTTCCGCCTGAAGAACCGCCTGGGTATATTGCCCAGGTCCATTCCTTGGTTCATTTTCATACATACTAGCCTCCTGATCTATATATGCGTCTTGTTGCCAACAATATACAGATATACTTGGCATCAACCGAGATCTTTTTATGCCAGTCTACACTGGCATCCCGTGCTCTAATTTGAAATTTGTTATCACATGAGAGTTTTGGGGTCATAAACAGGCATCCCTAGAATCTGAAAATTATCAGGTAAAATTTGAACTGACCAAAAACCACAGGCTCGCGTTAGATTCAACGAAAATAATCTTGTTTGAAACATTATTGGGAAGACAGTATACCCTTTTAAAAAAAATTAATTTTTCCAAAGTTTCAAATCTGATAAATTCCATTCTTAAGACTTAATCCTTAGGGTTGTATCCGCCTGAAAAACAGTGGTATATTGCTTAAAATCTGTATAAATTTTAGTCCTTGGTTCATTTTCAAAGATACTTATTCCTGATCTGTATATGGGTCTTACAGTCAACAGTATACAGATATATTTGGCATTAACCGAGAGTTTTTTTATCCCAGTCTAATCGATCCGGTATTTTAATTTGAAATTTGTTATCAAATGTGAATTTTGAGGTCATCAACAGGCAACCCAAGAACCTTAGTCTGAAAATTATCAGGCAAAATTGGACTGACCAAAATCCACGGGCTCGCGTTAGATTCAACGAAAATAATCTTATTTGAAACATTATTTGGAAGAGAGTATACCCTTTAAAAAAAATTAATTTTGTCTAAGTTTCAAATCTGATAAATTCCATTCTGAATACTTAATCCTTAGAATTAATTAAGGTTTTTAGTTGAGATAAAAAAGTCAATGGCACGAGCGGGATTCGAACCCACGATCTTCGGCTAGATACGCCGCTGCTCTACCACTTGAGCTATCGTGACCTCGATCCACTCGGGCACTAACTTCCCATCTCAACCGCACCTTTTGAATTTTCCCTCCTTTTTGCCATTTTTCGAATGTCGTGTAATCAATGACAAATTAAATGGCCACGGAGAGCTTAAGTGAAGTATACTTCAATTTTAATCATTAAATTCACTAATTTCGTGGTCCGCTTGACCAATTAATATATTAGAATTAATTAAGGTTTTTAGTTTAGATAAAAAAGTCAATGGCACGAGCGGGATTCGAATGAAAAATGGCAAAAAGGAGGGAAAATTCAAAAGGTGCGGTTGAGATGGGAGGTTGGTGTCCGAGTGGATCGAGGTCACGATATCTCAAGTGGTAGAGAAGCGGCGTATCAAACCGAAGATCGTGGGTTCGAATCCCGCTCGTGCCATTGACTTTTTTATCTCAACTAAAAACTTTAATTAATTGTAATATATTAATTGGTCAAGCGGACCACGAAATTAGTGAACTTAATCCTTAGGCTGGTTTCCGCCTGAAAAACAGTGGTATATTGTCTAAGACCTATATGAATTCTAGTCCTTGGTTCATTTTCATAGATACTAGCACCTGATCTATATAGGTATCTCTCAGCCAAGGATATAAAGATATAATTGGCATTAACCGAGATCTCTTTATCTTTTAAATAATATTATTTGAAACGTTATTTGGAAGATAGTATACCCTTTTTTAAAATTAATTTTCCAAAGTTTCGAATTTCATAAATTTCTTAAGTATGAAATTTATAAGATTTGACACTTGACTCCCCTAAACACGTGAGATTATAATATATAATAGTTTCGATAGTTCGGCGTACAAAAGTAGTTGGAAATATTCCAATATGTGGATGGAGTACAATAAATATCGTAAGTTCCTTTTCCGATATAAAGCCGTCAAAAACAAAAGACTTTCGGGAAATAAATAAATAATGCAAATAAATTCCTACAAAGGAAGGAAATAAGCTTAGAAATAAACCAAGTGCCTTAAATCTCGTAAGGCAATTGCTTTCCTTCGATTGGTATTAGGGGGAGCACTCTTCGCTGATTTGTCTTTTTACTATTTTGAGGTTAAGTTATTGACCCTGTGAGACCCGGGTGGCACATTCTGCAATGAAAAACTGGGTCCGTATTGTCTTCCGGTGTGCCGGTCGAAATGATAAACTCGGCCCATTCTCCGGTCACCACCTCTCGGGCGGATTTTTTTCCCTGTTTTTTCCTGCCTTCTTTTATCGGAGCCGTGTCTTCGGCTCTTTATTGGGGGGTAAATTTCCTACCCCACCCGACATCTGATAACCCTGGGTTGACTTTGTGCTGGAATAAAATGAAGGAGATTCCCCCTCCAGGGTCGGAGAGGCGTGATAAACTGGAAGACTAGGTCGATTTAATCCGGCCGTGACTCCTACTTCTTTACTAAACATGAAACACCATTTGTACAATAATAACAATTTACATTTCCCTTGTCGGAATAATTAATTATTAGCAATCATCAAATATTATCTTTCGGAGAGAGTTCAATTGAAACCAAATCTTCTTACCCGTTCCATCAACTAAATACAAAAACATTGCTATCGGGTTTAATAACCAAGGAGTCATCAAACCTCTGAACTCAAATATTGTCAGCCCGACAACCCCGTTCTAAATTGCAAAACCAAGCTAATTTACTTGTGAAACAGAGTTACTCTCTACAAGTTTCCCAGGCATAGACGGATCGAAAGGAATGAACCAATCATGAAATATTTAATTTTAAAAAGTATTCAGAGAAAAAGCATTCAAGGTGTAAAATCTGAGAATCTTTTAAGATATTGATCAATAATAATTCGAAAGTCGAGGTGGAATCGTTTGATTTTCTAAAGGATTTATATGCATATAATTAGAGAAGACAAAAGGTAAAAAAGGGAAAGAGAAAGAAACAGAAAGAAAGAAAAAGTGAGAGATAGATAGATGGATGGATGGATAGAGAGAGAGATAGAGAGAGAGAGAGAGAGAGAGAGAGAGAGAGTGAGAGAGGGAGAGTAGACAGACAGTCAGACAAGACAGAAAGAGGGCGATAGAAACAAATAGAGAGATGCACATATAATTAAATAGNAGAGATAGACAATGAGCGCCAAAAAGAGAGATAAGCATACGAAAAGTGAGAGAAGGGAACAGACAGAGAGCGAGAGAGAGAGAGAGAGAGAGAGAGAGAGAGAGAGAGAGAGACCGACAATAAGAGAGACAGAACTGGGCAGAGAAAAAACAAACATAAAATGAGAATGTTAAAGAGAGAGGTAAAGAATTGTTGGGACGGAGAAAAAAATTAAGAGAAATTAAAAAACAGAAAAAAATAAAGACAAAAATAAAGAGAATCAGAGGCAGGCAGACAGTGAGGGAAAGAAACAACTAGAGATAAAAAGAAAAGACATTAAAAATAACAGTAAGTGATAGAGGGAGATAATGAGATAGAAATAGATAAAGTATTATCTGGAGAGGAAAAGAGAGAGTGAAGAAAAACACAGACAGAACAAGTCAGATACATAAAAAGAAAGAGAAGCAGTGGGAGAATGAACAGTGGGTGAGTGAAAGAGTAGAAACTTTTCCTACAAAAACATTGTAAAAACAATAGAAAAAGCGGGATAAAACTTAAATTATTACACAATAAACAATCTATCACTTCGTGAATTTATCAGATGTTCGCAATCTTGATGGAAAATGCCTAACTCAGGACGAATGAACAGTTTCTCTCAAAAACATGAAAAATAATCAATATTACCGTCAATATTGATTAAAATTGTAGTAGGACAATATTTATAGAGACATTAAAAAATCAGGGTAATATTATAAAGAGTGAAAATTTTCAAAAGTCGGATTGTCCATTTTGCTTCCAAAATATGATGTAGAGGCAATATAATCTGTAATTATTCGTTAATTAATTTATCAAAGGGCAGCCATTGAAAACAACATTGAATTAAACGGAAGTCACGATAGCTCAAGCGGTTAGAGCGCCGGGGTATAAACTGGAAAATCGTGGGTTCGAGTCCCCCTAATTACAATAATTTTTCCTCTCTACTACACTTTACATAAAAACAGTATAAATCAATTTAAATAATCACTTTGGTTAATTAAAACCAACTAAAAACTTATATTGAATTAATGGTTCAATATAGAATTTTAAAAAATACTATTGGGCATTTTTAATAATTATTATTACAATATCGAAAAAAACTTCTTGAAAAAACTTTCATAATAAATTTTTGTAATTTTGTTTGCAATTTTGTTTGCTATTCTTTCAGATTCCGAGAATATAGTTTTAGTCTGATACCATCCTGATTTTTTTAAGTGACTTTTATCTCAAAACCAATTTTATTAAAAAATAATAGAATTAAAATAGGTGATTAATATATGGTGTTTTTTTCTTTTGATACTTTAAGAAGAAAACAATTATTTTTTGAAACAATTAACTTCGTTATTTTGAATGTGAAATTCTGATTGCTTTTTTTGATTAAAGATAGGCTTTTATACTATATTCTCTCTTCTTTATTTGTTTTGTGAAAAATGAACAATATTCAAGCAAGAGTTTTAAAAAATATTTTCCCTGCAATCGTTTCAACTCGAAGAGTCTTCATCCAAAGTGTAGCCGGTGCTGTTATTCAATTTAGTTTTCGCCGGTATTTGCATAATTTACTATTACCATCGGTCGAACAGTCCAGGATGTAAGGGACATTATTCTCTCCCAAAGTCATAATTTCTATAAATTAACCTGTCGCAGTTATGTAATGGAAAGCATAGATTTAACCTTTTCCATTACATACGATATTAATTGCATTGGTGAATTTACTCTTTCAATTGGCTGGCGAATTCATCAAAGATTAAAAATTCACTATTGATAATAAATTTATTCGATTTACTTATTGCTGTCGTCTTAATGGCCGGTCAAATCCCGCCGAATTACGACTGTCAGGTATAATTAAGTTACTCTCGCTAATGGTTGTTTTCCTGATGTTGATCCATCGTTTGTTTTCAGGTCGGACAATCCAACGGGACACAAGTGGTTTTAGAAGGCCTTGGATTAGGCTTATCTGGAAAAGTGACATGCGAAGTTACGACCGACACTGTCATCCCCGAGACAACATCGCTCACTGCTCAACTCACCGTGTTGGGTAGGTAAACAACCTAGTTTAATAGACTTAGAGCACATTTTGCCAAGTAAAATATCCTGGAAACTGTTCCTACATGTAATGTTTGATTATTACTACTTGATAAATAATATACACTGTGTTATTTTGTAAAATATATGTTGAGAAGAGAGATAAAATATCCTGAATCTCTGATTAATAAAAAAAGCATAAAATCAAATCTACAAAATTTTTAATAGTAAGCGGTGGAAAATATCTTGTCTGTAAATCCTTAGAACTTGGTTGATCATATTGTCGTGGTGTTTTCTTATCGCAGTGTCATTAACTTTTCTATTTTTAAGTGTACTTATGTTTCGACACAATTTAGTTTTCCTAAAAGTTTCAATACAAACGTCAAAATAAAACATGGAGAGGTATCCTATGCTTAATGCTGAATAGCAATGGCACGTAGAGGTTTTCTTAACATTTTAAAGAGAAAGAAACGCCATTGGGTTTGTAAATTTCAGGAATAGTATATATTCTACATTGAAAAAGAACCAATGGGGCCAAACCAAACGAATCTCCATTTTAAGTTCTAAATGAGGACTTCGGCTCAAAAATGAGGCTATTCATTTTGGCGGGATTGGATGGATCCTTCACTGAAACCTTTATGAACCAATTCCTGGAAAGGGAACGATAACGACTGGAGCCAAACGGGTCCATCTAAATGCATTTATCGAGAAAATCCTTTGAATATAAAATAAAATCATTTTTCGTTGTGAAAAAATTATTTTACAGCAAAAATGTTTAGTCTTAGTAGGTCAAAAAAATTGACCTTTTAAGTTTTGTTCTTATATCATTATTTATCTTATTTATGCACATTTTTAGTAGAACTGAAAATTATTTTTAGTTTTCTAGGGTGCTAAGCCCATATAAGTTCAAACTATTTTTGATTAGTGTTTGAACTTAATTTTATATCAATTAATTAATCTTTATGTAAGGTTTTGGTTGAGATAAAAAAGTCGGTGTCACGAGCGGGATTCGAACCCACGACGTTCGGCTAAATACGCCTCTGCTCTACCACTTGAGATATCGTGACTTCGATCCACTCGGACACCAACTTCCCACTTCAACCCACCTGTCGAATTTTCCCTCCTTTTTTGTCATTTTTCAATCTTATTATCAATTTATCTCAACCAATACCTAACATAAAGATTAATTAATTGAAAAAAATGGCAAAAACCACGAACCAACCAACACCAAAACGGTCAATCGGACCACGAACTCTTAAGAATTTAATAATTAAAATGAAGTACATCAGCTCTTCGTGGCCATTTCATTTGTCGCCGAGAATCAAATAGATTACACGACATTTGAAAAATGTCAAAAAGGAGAGAAAATTCAAAAGGTGGGATTAAGACGGGAAGTTAGTGTCCGAGTGGATCGAAGTCACGATAGCTCAAGTGGTAGAGCAGCGCCGGATTTAGCCGAAAGTCGTGGGTTCGAATCCCGCTCGTGACACTGACTTTTTTAGCTCAAACAATACCTTACCTAAAGATTAATTAATTAAAAAAAGTTAATTGGTCAATCTCTAATGGATTTAATTTTTATGCTATACTAAAGATATTTTCTTTATAAATACATATGACTCATAAAAAAGATCAATCTGCCAATTATTTTAAGTGCAATAATTTATACACTAGGAGGGGCTGGAGATCGTTAATAAGTACATGCACTTACCCTAGCCTGTTTTATGTCACGCATGAAAGAGAAGAATGAAAAGCCTCTTCTGCGAAAATGGCCCTCAATACATTTTGCCACCCATTTCCTTGGACCAAACGTAACTTCTCTTGCTAAAAATTTCATCTTTTTTACTCAGTGCTTAGATGAATAGCTTTCTATGCTGCACAAATTTTGAGATATCAGAGATTTGATATCTAGAAATTATTAAGTGTTATCTTAAAGATGTTGTTTGTAAACGCAGTAACACACGATTACTTTTGATTTTATGTTATAGAGAAATAGTAACGGTCTTGTCGAAAAATATTCGTACGAATTTAACCATGAGTATTCAGGATCGCACACAATGGTGGGTAGCCAGTTCTGTATGATTTTGCTTGGTTTTTTTTTTTTTGCAATCATAGATATGTTGCTTGACTCTCTTATCCAGATATTGTGATGAAAGACCGATGTAAGTTGCCGGACAATTTAAACAATTGATTGATGTAAATTACGTCAGATTTATTTGTTATTGGTGGGGATTTTTAATTTTGGAAAAAAGTGTGTGAATTGTTTTATAGTTTTTGAAAGCTATTTTAAAGTTATCTGAAGAGAGAAATGTGTTTAATTTATGTGATAGGCCGTGAATGAATGGCATGGATATGTGTCTTGGTTTGTCTGTATTTGATAGATTTGTTGTAGTATTATTAGTAATAGAGGATGGTGTTAGTCTTGAGGTGTAATTGTTGATTATTCTGTTGAATATGTGTTTGGGGTAGTGATTGTTATGGAGGATATGTTCCTGTGTCTTTTCCTCTCCCTAATTATATCCGTCTATGGATAATCAGGCCGAACCATTTCCCTTTCTTTCCCATTGTCGGCTCGATTCACTTCAAAGAAGCCGACTACTCATATAAAAATGTTTTTCTATCCCTACTTCCTTCCCCACCCCTTCAAAATCCAACATATATAAACATAAAACATCAATATCTCACTGGTACTCTCAACACGACACACAAGAATTTACACAGAAACCAAACACTCTGAGTGAGTAGAAAAACTAGAATGAATATAAAAAATATATTTTGCATTGTGTAAATTCACTTTTCCACATCCTAAATGTATTTGTTAAATGTAAACAATGTTTGTAAATCCCAGCCCCTGAAGGTGATCTCAATAAAGATCGAAACGTTGGCAAGATAAAAAAAATGTTTTGCTAAAATCAACGTCACACCAGACCGCATCTCACGATCTCTAGGAGAGTGCCCTAGAATCTCTCAACGACACACAAGAATGACACATCTGCACAGAAAACAGACTCTTCGAGTGAGTACAAATACTTCGATTGAGCCTAAAATTTCAATCATTGTATAAATTCATTTTTTTACACCCTACATGTATTTGTACAATATAAACAATGTTTATAAATCCGCGGCCCTGAAGATGATCTCAATAAAGATCGAAACGTTGGCATGATAAAGAAAAAGTTTTTCTAAATCTACGTCACGCCAGATCGCATCTCACGGTCTCCAAATAAATAGATTCTTTTATTGTACAATTTTCATCAAGTACTCGTTCTAAATGAGGTGTAAGGATATCTGAATCAAAATAGTTTTTCGGTTGATAAATACAGCGTTACACTGAATTTTAGAGTTAGAGTTTAATTACAGATAATTAACGTTTTTAGTTGAGATAAAAAAGTCAATGGCACGAGCGGGAATCGAACCCACGATCTTCGGCTTGATACGCCGCTGACCTACCACTTGAGCTATAGTGACCTCGATCCGCTCGGACACCAACTTCCCATCTCAACCGCACCTTTTGAATTTTCCCTCCTTTTTGACATTTTTCAGTGGATCAAGGTCTCGATAGCTCAAGTGGTAGGTCAGCGGCGAATCAAGCCGAAGATCGTGGGTTCGAATCCCGCTCGTGCCATTGACTTTTTATCTCAACTAAAAACCTTAATTAATTATAATATATTAATTGGTCAAGCGGACCACGAAATTAGTGAATTTCATTATAGATCCACTTTTACGTATTACAATTAGGTGGAATCCACACTTTTTTAAAAATGACTCTATATTTTTCGAACGTTTTACTGTTTTTCTAAACCTAAAGCATACAATGAAAAACTTTTTTTATACAGGAATTTTTATAATATTTAATTGTTCATAAAATACGTTTCCCTTCTGCGTTTGTACCTTAAGTACTCTAAGCATATTTAAGAGTACATTGCTGGTTATAAGATTTAAACAAGGAAACGTACAATAAATAAAATAATTTTAGCTGACATGGTGATGTTATTTTTCTACTGATCGGTCCCCCCCCCAAAAAAAAATGAAAAGACATTCTTCTAAATATACTATGGATTGTACACCAACACTATATAAATATTTTTTAGAACACATTTTTATTTATGTTAGATTATTTATTTAAAAGTACATAGATATTTTACAATTAAACAATTTCCAACAGGTCTTGAGTTTCAAAACGATGTCAGTTAAACATTTAACCAACGGTGGGTTTCAAACGAAAAATACACTTTTAACCTACTTTTTTTAACAGTCTGTGCATCATTGCCCGCTTTTATTGCGTAATTTCGAGGGCCATAACGAAACTCGTTAGATTAAACCAATAGGGACGTTCGGCAAGGGAATAATTGTCAAGTGGGAAAATTCCGTTACATTTAGAGACATGTTCCCGGAAAACGATTCTGATGAGCTCATCCGGGCGAAATAGACTGACGATGTTCTCTGGTGAAATTGACGTCAATCGTATCCGCTCGATTATAATCCAAGGACCGCCTTCCCCCCTTCGGATTTATTCCTCGGCCGATTCCGGGAAAACATGAGTGCTTCCCGATTGCTAATGATACAATGACGAAAAGAGAGGAAGAGGCTAGAGAATGATTTTATTGTGAAACACTTAAAGAAAATATTTTTATAAATGATATTTCAGAAATATGAACTAAACATCAAAACACATTGTCCACTTGGAACATCTTAATACTTTCTAATTGAATTAATCTTAAACAAGCATGTTGCCTAAAATTGGAATGGAAAATCGGAAATTGCCATTTGTTATTTTTTGAGAGGCTGGGTATTCGGAAGCGCGAATTTTTCAAGGGAAATGTTATCTTGTAAAAAATGTGTGGTGTTCAGTGACCGTTAGTCAATGATTATTTGGAGATCGTGAGATGCGGTCTGGTGTGACGTAGGTTTTGTGTTGATAAATATTATTAAACTCCGTTTCCTTGAAAGAGGTAAGAAGACACTGTTTCTTCGTAGATTTTCGGGCAGCTAGATCGAGTGGACAGAAAAGCGCTT